AGAGAGAGAGAGAGAGAGAGAGAGAGAGAGAGAGAGAGAGAAAGCCTGTAAAAAAAAAAAGATCTTTTTGTCTTACCAGGCTTACCAGCTGAGAACAAATTCTCAGAACAATGCTGGCCTTGCATGCTCATGCTATGTCTTAGCTAATTAGGCCTGAAGGCAGGGTGTACGATTACACACACACACACACACACACACATAAAAATGCCAGCATAAAAACAACCTCACAGCCCATCTCACCTGATCTGGTAATAACTGCATCAGGCCCCCTACGGATGGAAAACAGACATTGTTTCCTCACAATAAAGATTTATCTGAGCTCTAAATAACATCACAAGGGTTATTAGCTTTTGTATCTGAACAATACTGAGTGATGCTGCCTTCACATTTGTCCAAAATAGGGAACCTCACCAAGATAACTGGCCACTGCTCTACCTACATAGACAGCCTCCTCCTGAATGAAACACAGGGATGGTGATTATACTATGAAGTGCCCACAGTGGCAGTACTGAATATAGCAATATATTGTGTGATTCCTTGTATGCAGAACTTTCATTGCCCCTCAAGAAATCCATGTCATATGACCTGTAAAGCCTATTTTCAGACTTTATATAAATAAAAAAAAAATGTTTAATGCATTTTTACCAGCCTACATATTATATAACTTTTCTAAATAGATAGTACAATTGGTGACCAATTCAGTTTACTCTTCTTAATTTTTTTATATTCTTGATATTTTATCCACGACAGTCTACTTTTTCTACTCTCAGACATTCCACCTTGTTAGAGAAATTAATTACATTTTCAATATTTTATAAATATGTGAGATATACTGTAGCGATTTAAAAACATGTTCAAACTCAACCATTATTTAACCACAATTTCTAACTGTACTGATACCAGTGATAATTTTGCCTCCATATTTGCACCCTGTTAGCTCTATGATTCCTTTGTGGAATATATACATAACAAGTAAATGTTCTTGCCTCTGGGTGTAAAGTGTCTGATATGTGTGAGTGTGGTGCATGGAGTCCCACTCAGGTTGTATTTCTGCCTTACACCCTGAGAAAAACTGCAACCCTTACCAGGATAAAGCAGTTACTGAAGATGAATGAATGTAAATGTTTTTATAATATCAGTAAAGACTAACGATTAAGTGCTTGCACCAAAAAGGCAGTAAGTTTTGTAAAAGTCTTGACAAAAGACTTTTGCCATCAAAAAGGCACTGCATACAAGGATTGA